TGAAAAGGCTACTCTGGCCCCTGAACACCACAGCTGAGTGCTCTGTCAGCACACATCAGTCCCAATCCAGGGACACAGCTGGGATGCATCCTCCTCTTTAACACTCCATTCCACACAGCTAAGCATGGGCCACATCCCCCAGCCTGCGGTCGGTCTACACATACAGAGACTAGGGCATTGCCTGTCAGCAACTTAGAAGGAGGACAGGGGGGAGAGGATCCTTTATTTAAAACATGCGGGAGTTCTTTTATCTTCTATCAGACACTGCACAGCCCTCTGTCATATTATGCATGGATCTTTGGTTAGATGTATAAGGAGACAGTATTGATGTGTTTATGTGTAAATATTCAATTTTCTGATTTGACATAATCTTAACATTTATACATTGATGGAGGGTAAATTATGAACATTTTCCTGGATTAATTCCACTTCATACAGTCAGGGCTTCATCTATTTCAGCATTAATCCAATTGGTGAAGTAATCTCTACCTGTGGCCCAGTGGTTGAGAGAATGGATACCTTTTTATGTGAAATGCTTTAGAATCCTTTGGAATAAAAAGCACTATATTCAGCAAAAGCACTTTAATTAGAATTGTATTCACTGTACATATTCTGAAACAATGGTATTGTTTGATATTTGTTACATTTGAGCTTTCTGTTCTTAGTCAAGTTCTTAGAAAAGGGTCAAATACTAAAATACTTTTCTTAGTATTCCAGCTTCATTATTTAATATTTATTGGTTATATAAGAGTCTACTGAAGGAATGTTATAGTCTTTAATGTCCCTTCAAGTTGTTTTTGGTTCACTGAAAGCATATTGAAAACACTGTAACATAACTGACAATACATGATGATATACAGAATAAAGTAACTTAAAATGAGGAACTGATAGATTGAAACAGTACTTCACAACTAAAACTGGTATCAAACATCTGTCTTTAAAATTAATGCGTCATTGTCTCAGACAGCAAACCCAGAAAAAAAATATTTCTGACAAAGGTTGTTGAAAAAGCAGGTAAAATAATGTTACCTTGGGCTACACTGAAAACTGCTTTTGCATTTCAAATTACTCTCACACAGTGCATTGTGGCACTAAACTCCTTGTAGCAATGAAACATTTATGTTTAAAATAAATTCCTTGTAAATCAGTGATTTTTAACTGATACAAAACATTTCTCCCAACGTGCATTTTCTTTACTCATGTAATTAGTGTGGGGGTGGTGTGATGATTCAGTGGCTAGCATTGCTGCCTTGCAGTGCTGGGGCCCTTGGTTCAATTCTAGACCAGTGGGGCTATCTGCATGGAGTATGTATGTTCTCCCCATGTTCCTGTGGGTTTCCTCCCTCAGTTCAAAGACAAAGTGATAAATTAATTGACTTCTGGGAAAACTCTGATGTGAGTGTGTGTTTTTGTGTCTGTGTGTGACTGGCGTCCTGTCCAGTATATATTCTGCCTTGTGTCCGTTGCTAGCGGGGATTGGCTAAGGCTCCTCTTTGAGCCTGTGTTGAAATAGAGTGGTTAGAAAATGGATGGTTGTACTTAATATGATGTTATTCATATTCTCTCACCTATATTTTGGTGCCCGGTATTAAACAGCATTAATGAAGTATTTATTTAAGGGACAGGTAAAATACTGCGTGGAGTATCCTATGGTAATATCTGTCACGCCCTCTGCAGCCAGAGGGCGCTCCTTCTCTGTCCTGTCCCTAGTTTCCAGTCTGCTGTCCTTCCTGTCCCTCCCTTTCCCTTGGGCTATATATTTCCGGGTCTTGCACTCTGTCCTCGCTTAGCATTGATGTTCGGATGTCCTGAGACCCGCCTAGCACCAGGGCGCCCCACATCCGCTCCCTGAGGGCATAGGTTTCTATACGGCATTCCTGAACTCTTTGCACTAATGAGCCTGGGCCTTTTTCCCGTCTCGCCGCTACGCATATTGGTCTTTTTCCGCTCTCCTGCTCCCCAAGGTTAGTCCCTTTGGACGTCCGTGACAATATCATTAAGGTACTGTAGGTGCAGGAACTGCAATGACAACTTTTAAAATGTTTATATTCCTTTAATACTTAATACTGTTAAGTAAATGAGAGCCAGATATTAATATCTCATATTTTGTGATCTTGTTCAAAAGAGAAATGATTCATGAGCACTTCCCATTATTGATCATTGTTGTATATTAAATTTCGAAATCGAAGAGGGAATTAAATGCCTGGTAAAAGAATCATGTTGTTTTTTTATAAGTCTGTGCTGCATTGCAATCTTTTTTTCTAAAATGCATTAAGTGTAGCCTGAAGAAATGTTTGTCTTATTTGAGGCGTTCCAACAAGATTTCTCACACAATTGTTTTCACGTGTGCAATTATATGTGCAGCACACAAACACAGCAGAAATCTATTATTCATAAACAAAAGGCAGAAGTATGCTTTCCTGATATCTTTCATGTTTACTAATACCTCATTATACTGTATATTATGCACAAAGTATAATACAACACTCGACACTCTTGGAGAGACTATTCCAATTGAACTTTAACCATGAGAATACGAGATCATAAAAATAATTACACACGAGAGGAAAATTCATTTAAACATTTTACCCTTGATCTTTTTTCTGTAAATCAACCAATTCTTAAACAAAATACATGCGTTAGCCTGTGAGAATTCTTTAAGAGGTACCTTTATCAAAAGCCCTCTAAAAATCTAAGTACAGATTGCCATAGTAATCAGTATCCTTAACTGCCATTTCTTCTTCAAATAACTCAAGTCAAGTTAAGCGAAACCTAGCTTTTTTCAAATTTGGCAACATAAAGAATCAATACTTTTTTGGTAATGGGGGATTTCTCTTCATATATTTCAATTCTTGATCATTCTACTTAAATTCTGCTTGCAATCTTTATTTTCAACCTTCCTATAATGCCATGTTGCCTCAGAACGCATAGCCAAATGCCCTATACTGTATGTTCACAAACCTTTGATGGAACTACCCCAGGCTACTCCATTTTGTCCTATAAATATTGAGAGAAAATTCACTAGGCACTTCAGGTCCATGCAAATGGACAAAAAACCAATAGCTTACACTTGATTTTTTTCATTTCATAATATTCTGATTTTATAACACGAAAAAGACAACACCTTTTTGTGATGAGATGATCTTGTGTTCCATGCCTTAAAAACACAAAATTGCAGGTCAGACTATTTTTATAGAAGGAACACTTGGATTAAAAGTCATGTCATGTCATTTAAAGAATCGCTTTATACCATATGGTGTCATGGATGATTGAAATGTAACTGATCGTAGAAAAGATTACTTAGAATGAGAGTCATCTTTTCATAGTGTCCAGTGTCAGGTAGCCACAGCATATCACGTTAGCAAAGCACTTTATATCATTTTTACAATTAACAAGATTTCTGTACCTAAAATAGACAGTCCTTCATCTGATGTTGTGGTTCATTCCCAGAGAACTACTTTGTAGCCATTCTCACTCATCATAGCAGCCAGTGCCCTTTACCCTGACCTGATTAAAAATTCACTGCCAGCCATCCTACAAAACCCTCCCCTGTGTTTCTTGAACAAGCTTTAGAAATTCTGTGTGGCTCAAGGCTACCATCGTGTCTCAAAGTTAATGTGTCCCCACAGAGAATGAGCAATCATTTTAGCTTAGGCTCTTATTAATGTCCTTCAAAGCATGGTGTGTTGCCTTAATATTACTCTAAGTATAAAAATGAGTCCTTTGGGCTAATCCCAGATGAAAACTAGCACTGATGCCCCAACTGGCAATAACTACAAAGGGCAGACCCTTGGGGATAAATGCTGAAGTATTTCACGTCCCAGAAAAGACGGCACTCCCAATGGATCTCATCATAGCAGATTAAATAAACCTTTATGAAATAAAAAAAATATTCTAACTCAAAATATATTATTTCATGATAATTATATACTGTAATGCTGCTTAGGCTTACTATCTTATTTCAAGGACATTCTGCCATGATATGTGCTGGTTTGGAAGCAATTAAGACTCATTGGTTCAACTGTTCTTCTTTCTCTATTCCATCTCTTTGTTTTTTACTGTACCAGATTTCTTAGTCACATAAAAAGACAACTGTGCCTTTTATCAGACGTAAAGCAGGATGATCAAAAGAATAGTAAATCTTTTCTCTGCCTGATACCACAACAATTAAGTTCAAAGGCAGACCATCATTTGTGCTTCTGATTTCTTTGGCAATAGCAGGTGACCAAGTAAAGTTCATATGGAGGCAGGTTCCAGGAAAAAAAGAAAGACGTACTGTACTATAAATACGTTTTTATCAATCAGGCTTGGGAAATATTATTTTAAACCATTGTTTAAATGATTTTAGTCTATGTACTTAATTTTTCCAATTTCTGAATGAAAATAGTAAGTAAAAAATGAATGCATAGAATGTGTAGTAATAGCCTTTCACAACTATTAGCACAAACAGTAAATGCATGAAACAATGCATAACTCTGAACATGACATCAAACAAGAATAGCAAAATAACGAAAAATACTGAATAGCAGCACTGTGTGTAATTCACAAATATAGACGGGAAACTCAAAGTGGTAAATGTTTTTTTCATCCTTGCATTTTCTAACGATTTGTTCTAGCTCAGGATTGCAGGAGTCTATGCCAGCAAGCACTAGGTGCAAGGCAGGATACATTCTGGACCCCAGGTTGCTACTCCATCGCTCACACCAGGACCGATTTTCCCAAGGCGAATTAATCCACCATTATTACTTTGCACTGTGGGACAAAACTGGAGTAAATGGAGGAAACCCACACAAACATGGGGAGAACATACAACAACTGTACACAAATAGCGCCCCAGGTCCGGAATGCAATCCAGAGCCCCAAGGCTGCAAGGCAGCAATGCTAACTCTTGTGTCACTTCACAGCCTCAAAACAGTTTTTGATGTTTTCAAAAATCTACAGTGTAGCCTTTTTGGAGTCATATACCTGTGACCAGTTATATATATATAATAGACACTTACCCTGTAGTCACTTGCCGTGACATAGAATATGGGCTGGAAAGCCAGCCAGATGATGCAAGTTGTGTACATGGTGAAACCAATGAACTTTGCCTCGTTGAAGTTCTCAGGGCACTTTCTGGTCTTAAAGGCGTAGACAGTGCACAGAATGATCAGGATGCAGTTGTAGGTCAGGGACATCAGCATGCTGGAATCCTTGCTATTACACTTCAGAGTTACCACATCTCGCTTCTCTGGGTTGACTTCCTTGCGGACCCCAGGTGTCTCTACCAGCAGCCAGACGATGACGACAATAAGCTGGCAGGAGATGAGTGCCATGCAGATGACCACCTGAGAGGTTGGGCTGATGAACCTGGGCCTCTGAGCCCCTTCCTTGACTCCGTTGAAAATCCGGGCAATACGGTTTGTCTTGGTCAAGAGTGCAGAGTAGCACACAGCAAAGGACGTACCCAAGCCCAACCTACGAAGGGTGCAGATGACAGCTGATGGCTTTGCTATGTAGATGAATGTCATACTATAGCACATCAGTACTCCAAAGAGCAGAATATAGGAGAGCTCTCGGCCAGAGGCCTTCACAATGGGTGTATCATTGTTCTTCATAAAGACACCGATCACAAAAAGCGTGCAAATGATGCCCAAGCAAGAGATAGTGACTGGACCAATAGCCCATGCATCCTCCCAGTGGATGTATTCTTCAGGCAGATCATAACAGCCAGTGAGATTTTCTAATGGCCAGCGTCCAAAGCTGCAGTCCATGCAAGTGAATTCATCCAGCAGGTACTGATAGGGCTGGCAAGGGATGCAGATCCAGCAGCAGACATCTCCCGGCTGCATGCTTTTCACCTCATTTTTCTTGCAGGGATCGCTGCACTGGGAGGTGGGAACTACCTGGTTGGCCCAGGAGATGAGGCTCTTGTTCAAGACCAGACCCTGAGCCCAATAACCAACTTTTCTGTAGATGTACTTGTCCTCCACCTTATGATAATGAAAGATGTTGTAGCGCCCCAGGCTATCACCATATGAGTCAAACCTGACAATATTTTCAGTGTCTGCTGGACGGAATGGAGCTGGAGAAGGGAAAACAAAACCGTAAATTAGCAAAGTAACACACTAGGTTTTCTGACATCCCGCTGAGAGTCAAAATGGTGGATGTGTGATTCCTGTCAAAGTTCGGAAGCTTGTTGTCCACTGATCACTTACTGTACTTGAAATCAAAATGAATCTCAGTTAATGTACCATAACATTTATTTTCTTTTTAAGCTATTCTAACATTTTCATATTAGAAATTAAAATAGCACTGTGCTCTGCAGTCCGTCTCAAGGGTAGTGATAAAAGCATCAGAAAACATACAATGTGTCCATGTGAAGAAAATCAATCTTTAGTTTCATAATGCTGTAGTTGCTACACACAGTAGGTACTCAGCACCTCAAAACCCCTCTTCCTTTTCCAGACCTCTATGCACCAAAAACCTTTCTCAGATGAATATCTAAACACTAAATCTGGACACAGGTGCAAACTGTAAATTAACATGATTGAAGCTAAAAGGGCATGTTTTCAGCAGGCCAGCCTTCTGTGCTGCACTCGACTTTGCAATTAATGAATGGCAACGAGCCGAAACCAAGGAAAGAAAAAACATTTTTACCAAAGAAACAGGCAAAGTTAAGGAGATGGGCAATTGGACATGTTTTAACCATTTCCCCCCAAAAATGTACATGTATAATTAATAATGCATTTTATTATCATTCTATTTATTAGAATTGAACTGAAAATCTATATTATACAATTAAATTTTTTGCAATATCAGTTAATTAACTATAATTTATAAACTAGTATACATTAAAATACCTAACGTATTAAAGACCTTTAAGGTTATACTATAAATAATATTCCCTTTTTAGCAATTTTAAAAACTGCTTTCATGTGCATGAAGAATACAAAATCTAGTCTCTAGAAGATAACCTATCTTCTACACAATGCATTTCTGAAAGAGATTCAGAATAAAGAGTTTGGGGATTTTATCTCTGTCAGCCCAGACGTTCTACTGTTAAAGAAACCACATCTGGGACTGTGTTCTTAAAACTACATTGAAATATTAGATAGCCTAGGGTTTGTGCCATTTTCCTAAACCTTAAACCACCCAGGATCACTGAGGCATGAGAATATTGTCGCATTTATTTCACTAATACCTGGAACAACCTGGAGTCATGTCCGATAATAGGGCTCTCTGGGAGACTAGGTATAGCAACATTTTATTATTGGATACTTAAACAGTGAGCCTGTAATGATCAGGGATCATTCAGAAGCCTACAATCACATAGCAAGCATGTCCTTTTGCACCTTTCTCTATAAAGTTATTGGGAAAAACACTACGAACCAATAGAAAAGGTCAACATTTCCCTCGTCAGTCAGGTTCAACATGTACAGTATCAGACCAGCAGTGCAGACTTTAATACTGGCTTTACAGCACTGTTAATTAAAGAGCACACTAAAACCTCAAGTGTGAAAACATCAATTACAGGGAAATACAAAATGGTATTTAATGTATTCATTAAAAATAGGTATCCTAAAAGCACCACTAAAATCCAGAATAAGCACCAAACAAGGCTAAAGAACATAAAGATCCAAGACACAGACTTCCATACGTGCTACTTGGAAGTATATCACAGCTGAAAATTCAGAGAAAAACAAAGATCCCTCCATTGGCCAAATATAATGTACTTATTCATAATTTATATTCTCTTTTATTTTGTTGTTTGTTTTAACCTATGCAGACACAGTATGGGAGCATGCAGATACAAATATGTCTAGAATGTCTAGAAAGAGAACAAGACAGAAAAAGTATTTCCATTTAAATGTAAGGCTTAAAGGGCTCTAGGAGTTTTTTTAAAAGAACAAAAAAGACAAAGAACATTTACCATAAGCTGACTCAAGCTGAAAGAGATTACACTGTATTTATTTCAAAATGGACATTTGACAACATTTGAAGCCCATATTTTATAAAAAGAGAAGTGCTAAATTCACAGCACTTACCATCAAACTTTGTTTTAAGGATGTAGTCCCTGTAAAACCTCTTCCCGTTGCCTGGCTTCATGGCATCACACACTTTGGTGGCGTTGGGACACACGGCCTGCCTCATGTTGTGCAAGGCATGTGCCATGGCAAAAACAGCGTTCACCACAAACATGATCTTTGACTCCTGCTCAAATTTGCCATCTTGGAGGGAGCGCTGACCACAGCTCAGGTCCTGTAGGCTGCACTGGAAGCGACGCTCCCAGAATTCCCGGAACCACGGGTTGCGAGTGTTGTTGTAGGGATCCAGCCGGGTGAAGTAGTCAGCAAACTCCTTGATGGGGTAGGAGGCAAGCTCTATGGTGAAGGCGCCATTGGCCACCAGCTCGCTGCCCCGGACGACACTCTCCTGTGCCCCCCAGCCATCGCTGGCCACCCATATGAAAGACACGTTCATGCGCATCGCAGCCACCAGCAGCTCCCTGGCATCTTCGCTCCTGGTGAAGAGGATGACTACCCTGGCATTGGACTTCTGCAGCAAGGACCTGATGACTACTTCATAACTCTTCCGATTCATGGAGCGGCTAACCTTGGCGGAGGTAGCAATGCAGATCTGCCGTGCACGGGCTTCCTGTTGAAAGGCCTCGATGCCGGTCTCCCCATAGTCCCCTTCTGAGGCCACTGTGGACACATAGGTCCAGTTGAAAAAGCGTAGAATCTCTGCCATGGCTTTGGCCTGGTAAAAATCAGGTGGCACAGTGCGAGCAAAGTAGTCATAGCGGGTCTTGTCACTGAGCTTGGCACTGGTGGAGGCATAGCTAATCTGAGGGATCTGAAAAAGCCTCAAAAGATTGGCCACCTATGTGAATAAAAGGAAAGCAAGAACAGAAGAGTCATATTACTAAGCTGGTGAAAGGTTGAAACCATTCATGCAATTTCTACAGAATACAAATTGTAGCCTCTCATACCATAGCTTTTATGGTATAGACATATAACATGTTTTGGGTGTCGCAAACATACACAAGAAGGCTTTACATAAGGTTAGAATGTTTCTCTTCAGTCAAACATGAAAAAATGAGGATATAACCTTATCCATAAAATGCTAAAACAATCTTTCCTGACCTTCCTTAGTAACTGAATAAGAAGAACAGAGATGGAAAACTTGTATCCATTAATAAATAGTCACAAAAATATCACTGTGAACTGGCCGAGCATACCTTGACTTATTTTTGCAAACAATGTCTCATCTTTCTAAAGAAATTAATAACCTTAACAGGAAAGAAAAGGTCTATAAGATCATTTTCATTTAGACAACGTGCTGCAAGGATTCTGCTGAAGTGCATTTTATTTAATCCTGGAATTTGTCACACTGTAGCCACTGCAGTCTAAAAATGAGGTGGCCCTCTACCTTCCAGGATGCAGCTGGTCCCTCCTACAGGTGTCGTAGTGTCTTGGTTTCCTTGTACTAGTCTGCCAATTGTGGAAGCAGAACATTTCATTCTCTAAGCAGCTTACCTCACAGACAAACTACACGTACGTTCAATAATGCCCTTAGCAACTAGGTGATCTTCATTAACCAGGTGGGGAAAGGTCTAATCTTTCGGAGATTTTGCATTCATAAAAATGATGTCTCTTTGAATAGCTATTTATAAAGATTTTTGAGCATCTGAGAATCTGATGATCACACTAAATAACTTCAGCTCAGTATTTTGTTATTGCAAAGAACAATACTTTTCAAACAAATAAAACTCCAACTGTATCTGCTCAATGTTTAAAATATTAAGTATACATTTTATTATATTTAAGCCATGAGTAATTAAAGCATAACAGACTGTTGTGTTTTCATCATGCATCAGTATGTTTTTTCAGTGATGCTCAGATCAAAGGTTTCACTGGGAATGATGGGTAATAAACACAGTGGTATTTATTATTAACAAATCAATGGGCTGTTTCAAGTTAAAATGATTATCTATTAAGCATGAACATGATATTCATAAATCAATGTCTTATGGCAGGCAAAATTAAAAATAGATAATTAATATCAGCCTACATTTTCTTAAAAAAACATTGTTTAGCATGCAGCCCAACTAGCTGTAAAACAAAATGGAATATTGGTTTAACAAAGCGATTATCGAACAAATGCATTTCTACCATATTAAGTCTACTGTAAGTTACAGGGACTCCACAAAGCCTAAAGAAACCTTAAGCAACAATTCCATACATTGTTTCCCCTTTAATACAGTATTTTATTTGTATTGTTTCAGAAAATAACTTGAATTCCAAGAAAGATATTAATTTCAATGCTTTGCCCACAAAGAAAATCAGTTTACAGTTTGAAGAAATTGGTGTCGTGTTTTAAAGCAAGAGCATATTTATATTCTAGTGTAATGCTGTCTTAGGTAAGTCAGCTGTGTGATCTGTCGTAATGCAATTTGACCTGTAATGAATCAGATTATACAGGATACAAAATAATGGGTGGAGCATACACAAAGCACAATCTCAGACAGCAATTGTCCATGACTAATAGCAAGGCCATTCCTCTTGAAGGATGTGAATTATTGTGCATTTCTATCTGATTTGCCTAGGTTTTTAAACCATCAGACTTTAGAATATCAATCTTATCTTTCTTAGCTTGTTAGAGAGGGAAAAAAAGTTGTCTAGAATTACTGCCTCTATTAAACTAAATTAATACTGAATCACCCCTTCAATCATTTTTTTTTTATGTTTCTGTCCTGGCAGGGTCCTCTGAACATGTTTCATGTGAAAATCTCTTGGTATCTAAAAGCAGTAAAAGTAGTAATATTAAAAACAACAATGACAATACAAGCAGTTGCTTGCTGTCAGTGGTAATAAGAGTTTCAAAGTGCCCTTGTCACATTGAGAGTACAATGCATTAGGTTAGATGTATGTTGCTATAGAAACCCGATAGACTCTGCAGCACTTTCACACTGAAAGAAGAGTCTTTTGGAAACCAGGTTGTTAATATTAGAAAAGCTGTTTCTCTGGGGGTTTCTCAGAGTACAGCTTTATGGAAAGCTGAGAGCCATTGAAAGTTATTTTAAAATGGTTTCTTCTTCAACAATCAAAACCCAACAATTTAAACACAGGACTCACACAGACTAACATTCACACCAGGGCCAATTTTCCCAGAAGCCATTTAACCTGCAAGTATGTCTTTGGACTGAAAGCAGGAAAGCAGAGAACCCAGGGGAAACCCATGCATACAGTACATTGGGAAAACATTGGGAGCACACCAGGAATCGAATCTGGCACCCCTTCCTTGAAGAAATGAGTAGCCTTAGCTATAGTTGAAGGCAAATCCAAAGCAATGAGCAGCTCACTGCTAGAGAATGAATATAAAATGTGTTCACAGACTAGTTTTGACACTTCACCTATCAATACTTAAATTAAACTGATACAATTTTCTATAAAGCATGCATTGTGTACTGTGACTTTGTTCAAAAATTGACTTGATACTCAATTTCCCTGTGAAACAAAATACTTACCATCTTTTTGAATGTCAGTAATTATGTGCAAATGTTTTATCATTGCTAAAATGAAGGGTTTCAGAAAAGTGAAAGGTGGCAACTTATATACAGTAACATTTCTGAAAGATCTTTTTAGAAGTCATTTTAAAAAAGTGACACATTGTATTTTTTCAGTACTTAAAGAAAAAGATGGGCGAACATTATAAAAAGCATGCGTATCTTACTGTCAGGCACAATACAACAGCAGATTTCACAATGAATAATTCACTATTGTGCCATTTGACACATTAAACAGAATCATTCGTAGCCGAAGCATGCTGCATGTTCTTAGGAGGTGACATATGTTCTCTTCAGAAGCATGTGCTACAGATTTTGCTAGAAGGTTATTTAACACCTAAAGCTAACTGTAGGAAAAGTGCACATTAACAGAGCAACAGCAGTTGTACTAATACCCAGATTTGCACAGGAAGTTTAGTGTTTTTATTACATGTATTGTAAAACTGTACAACATTCGAGAATCAGAGGCATAAGACACAGCTTTCATACAGGTTGTATACATTTGATTCGGGGTTAGGGTACCTTCTGTGTGGAATTCACTTATAATTTCAGATGGGTTGAGATGAGATTTGTCTGGGACTTCTGGTTTCCTTCCACCTCACAATGCTACAAAAAAGATGCTTACTTGGTTTTATTGGCAATTCTAAATTTTCCTTTTCTCCTTGGTCCTGTGATGGACTGGTGTCCTACCTAGTGTTCCTACTAGTGTTCTCAGTGTTCTGATGGATCAATCGATAAATAGATTTTCCTTGCATTAGGTTATGTATAGCATCATTTACAGTACTTTAGATGACCAAAATTGTTCAAAAACTGACAAGATTATACAAGAATTGAGCATAACTCACAAACAAAGATCACATTACCCTTAATACTAGTATATTCTATATTAGAAACACAAACAAAAAAAATAACCACACTGAGATCTTTGCAGATTTAACTGTGAAGAAATGTTAGGATAAGTATATTAATTACGTGACTGTATCCTGTCTAGGGACAATCTTTCAGAAACAAAAAGTGGAAAATAAATAGGTAAAACATAATTTGCAAAGTGTCTATATTTTTTCTGCATATGAAATACAGTATGCTCTCCCTATGCAGTTCAGCTTAATGTATGTAATAAATATAATACTGTACATGAAAAAAGGCTTCTGAAATGTTCCCCCACTCATAATGTCAGATACTCAGTGGAATCTCTTCACAATAAAGAAACTGAGATTTTAATTAAAAATTAGTGCAGATGAGGCAGGGATTTGTGCATGTAAGGTCTTAATATCAAACGGATTATTTTCACAATTACTTACTTTGCAACTGTGGGAGGATGGCATGTGAAATCCTACTATATTTCAGTAGAGAAAGCACAAAGCTTACTACTTTTGTCGCATCAAAGCTTTCATTTTCATAGTAGAACAATAAGCTGCAAAATGCATTATGAAATAGTCATTCTTTAGCCTTCAGTGTAAAAATTATCATCAATATCATCATCAACCTTAACATTATTGTCAGAATGAAAAGTGTCATAACATGCCTTTTAAAAAAGCAAAATTTTCTCAAAACATTCACGGTGTAAAATTGTGGAACATAAGCAGACAGAATTCGATTGTGACACCCCAATGGAAATTTTCACTGCAAAAGAAAAACTGAAACAACACAATCTGCACTTTATTCATTCCATGCAATGTGTGTGTCATGAACGTACACTATTTGTGTTATATAAATGTGTATTGCACCAACAAGAGAAATAGAAAGTTGAAACGCACATCCCATGTTATCAATACTGTATCTTACATATGTTAGACAGTGGACTATTGGAAAATATGAACAGACAACAGCAGTACACTAATACAAAATGACTAAATAAATTAAAGATGCACAGATATTTATATATGTTGGAGAAACATGGATATTCTATGAAGGTACTTAAAGTGAGAGAGGTTTGTCTTAGAGGCTAAGCTTTGCATTTTGTGCTCTGAGAGAGGTGACAGAGGGTAACAGCTGCTGCCTCAGTGATAAGGCATTCATGAGGACTAAGCTGTGAAACTGGGAATGGCAAAATGGAATGGCTTCTTATTTCTAGTTTTTAAAAAATCAAAATTCTAGTTTATGTAAGACTTTATCCAATGATGTAACCAGATGTCAAACAGGGCTTCACCATCTGCAATACTTTAGGATTTGATCTATTCATAATACTGAAAACATACATGCAGGTATAGATAAGATTAGATCACTTTACTGACCATATACTATTTCTTGTATTAGGAATTTGTCTTTTCGCATACCCCAGCTTGCTCTCCATGAGACACACAGGCAGGGAGAG